CAGTCTGTCCCTACTCTCCAGTCTGTCCCTACTCTTTGGCCTGCGCCTACTCTTTGGTCCGCGCCTACTCTCCAGTCTGTTCCTACTCTTCAGTCTGTTTCTACTCTTTAGTCTGCGCCTACTCTCCAGTCTATTTCTACTCTCCAGTCTGTCCCTACCTTTCATTCTGTTTCTACTCTTCAGTTCGTCCCTACTCTTTGGTCTGTCCCTACCTCTTAGTTTGTACCACCTCTGCAACTCGTCAAATAAGGGTATATTGAAAGTCACTGCGTCCATGTAGATGCCATAATGACAATTAGCGATCTGGTTGCTGCGGGCGCCCGCTTCATTACTCGGTCTCAATAATTAAAACATGCGATATGTAACTACACAGAAACATACCAGGACAAGTAGAGACAAATCTCGAGTCCTCAAGTAAAGAAAACAATCTAGGGAATGAACGATTCCTTGACCCGCTGGAACATGCCATGGGAGAGCTACGATAGCACTAATTGAGACTGGTCTTTAGCGCTTTCCAGGCTATGCATTCAATTGCGGTTGCTGTTGAACAGGTTGCAAGAATTGAACATCTGCATAGTCGCGTGTTGAACGCAACTCATACAGCAGTTGCACAGGTAGAAAAGCGAGGGCAGTTGCAAGCACTGGCTCGGAATCCACACTTGGACCGAGTAAGCACTAGTCAAGACCGGTCTTCTTTGGCGCCATTTTAGAGTTCGAGTACCCAAGCTATAATGATTCAAAGGAGAAAATCGTCAACTGCGAGGTGTTGAACAGATGGATGTCGCTCATTACAAGAAAATGATTCCGTTCAACTCTTTGTTCAAAGCTAATTGTCCCACTATGGTTCATCTGCGTCCTGTTGATGCATTTTCTCGTCTCTCAGAGATACTCGGATTCCAGAATAACACCAAGTATATTGATACTGCCCAAGGATATAATGGCAATACCTAGAGCTGGCAATATAGATCTGATCGAGGCAGAATTACCTACTACAGCTTTCCGAATAAGAACGTAGCCTGCACACGTCGGAAAAGTGCTTCTGAATAGCCGAGGATGCCAGAGCTAACGATATTATTGGACGCAAGTTTACCCGCGCCCATGTCTGAATTACCCGCTAACATTATTGCCATTACAGGCGAGTCCCTCTCCTATTGATGCCTTGACAGAAACAAAGTTCTTCGAAGTAATTTGAGCCCTCGAAATCAGATTGGACAATTGCTAAGCAATTGACAGCTCTCTTCTCTTATTGGAATCCTTCGTCGAGAATTGCAGCCACTTTCATGCGCGCTAATTCGCCAGCTGTCTGAAAGGGCATACCATGGGGGTTTCATACCGAGCCGCGGTGTCTTGACTGTCAGAGACGATTCCGACGTAATGACGGCTAGCCTACATAATACAGACAACGAATGCAAGTACTCTAGTTTGTTTGAGGGTCTCCTCGCTGTATGCACGAATGCAGCGTGGGTGAATGAGACCTTTCGAAACTTCTTATTGATCCATTCCTAACCACTTCCTTTTGCAGCATTTCCAGATGGTGCAGCAGCTTTGGCTAGGCTGCCATTAACCGGGGCGGACAATTCCCAGTGCATAAGTCCCTCTGACGTCGCAAAAGAAGTAAATTCTGAGAGTTTCAGAGCACCTGTTGCTTTGGGCGGTGGTACGCCTTCTGAAACACTGAGCGACGTGAGGGTATCCCGAGGTGTTAATCAAGAATCTTGCCCCGAGACTGTTCAGAATCCGGGCAAGTCCCGCAAACGACCGAGGCCCGTGCCAGAATCTGCTTTGAGCCTGACATTTGACGAGCACATTATATACGCGCTTCTGTCACAATGTGAGTTCGCGAAAAAAAGACGGTTGAACCATGAAGAAATCCTGCAGGTCCTGGACGCGCAAAGGCACCTCGTCGTCAGAAGTCCGCGTCAAATCCTTGAGCCTATTTGGGCCTGCTGGGAAGAAAATGTGGCCCACGGTTTGCTTCCTGTTGGTATCCCCACTTTATGGTTTGGTGTAGAGGCCGCGGCGAGGTGTATCGGCGACCTCGAAGCCGACCCTATTTCGGACTCTTTTGCTGGTAGAATAAAGTGTTTTTTATTTTATTTGAACTACGCTGTGCTCTCCAGTGATCCAGACAGATTCGGCTTGCGTCCCAAAAGAGGCCGAAAAACAAGCCATTTGATTGACTTGATCACCCAGCATCTGGAAGACGGTCCCTTTGAGAGATGCAGTACAGACACTTGGCGCAAAGCAGTTCACAAGTACCGACAAAAGGGGTTCCGTCTGTGGCAGCTCGCAAGTGTACTTGGTTTCGGTTTTCTCCTAGCCACCGACGCTGCTGTAATTGAGAAATTGTAAGTAAACTATCCAGTCAATGTCTTAACTGCTGACGCGAGTCTCAGAACGATTCACACCTTTACCAACAGCCAAGTGGATGCCCTTGTTACCTGTGCTTATTACACCCGCCCTGCAACACTGGAATATTTCCATTCCTTGGAGTCGGCGTTCAGAAATTTGGTTTTCGGGGAAAGGACGCTCGATACTGCGGGAATAAATGCTCAGGATTCGCTGACTCAGCTACGGTGTAGCTCGCGGCTCAACCTGACACGGTCGCAACTGGCCGAAATGCGAGAAAAAGATGAGGCGCAATACAACAACCAATATTCTGGCTGTCCTTGGATAGTGCTCGACTCCAAGAGACAAATTTTGCCAAAGGCAAAAGAGCTTCTTGAAAAGCATTACGAAGTGTGGACAGATTTCGCTTACCACAATTGACCTGGTCCCATGGAAAGACTTGACAGGTACGGTACACGTACGCACTGTCGGGACTCTCGTTCACTTGAGAAAACGTCTGTCATCCTGCATCTCTCTCCCGTCCGAGATCCGCAAAAGGCTATCTCGCTGGGCATACGACTTTTAAGGCCCCGTACAAGATATGATCTATTCCTGTATCCCTTCTTGCTTGATGTCGCCGTACTAGTAAACTTGACCTTATCCAAATGAGTTTCCTAAGTTATACCTGCTCTCGACTGGCTAACAACCTTCCCTGTACCCACCATCTATGTATACTCTGGTATAGCAGTCAATTAGCTACTTGCGTGCCAGAGGGCACCCGTTGCAAACCGAACAAGTGGCCTGCCGTAAATACACTGGCGTCCGCTAGCGTCTGGAGTAGCTCATAACACCGTAGAGGTAGAAATGAGGCATCTGTGAACGCTGGGTGCACATTCTACGCACCGCAAAGTTTTGCGCCCCGTGGTTTTTTGCCGGGCTCTTACTCCGCGCGAAAATAATGCAGCGCGTAATATTCTGCCTACCATGAAAAGTTGCGGGGATGTATTAAATTCCGTTTGATCAATTAGCATCCGAGAGAGATTAGTAAGGAGGTGAGAAGGAATATTTAACGGCGCAATTCGGGTACGTGCCTATGCCGATGAGACAAAAAAGCGCCCATTTGGTAACGTACCTTAACAAAGCGCCCATCCGGTACCGTACCTTAATAGACGAGCACTTTAGGTTAGTACCTGGGTAGGAACCATGCCAGAAAATTCCAGAATCCACATCCCATGCATTTGCTATGCTTAAAAGGCTCCTATCCCCCGGCCTTCTCACTTTTGATTCACTGTACAAATTGCCAGCCATTTGTGCAGGAAGTATTCACGGTTCAAGTTTATATTTGACAGCTGAGACGCTAAGTTCCTAATGGAATATCAGTCAACAGCAATAGTAGACCTGGGTCCAGTTGTTCTACACTCCCATCTCCCATGTACTGACTAAGCACTCGTACCGAAGCTTTGCCGAGTATCCAGAAAGGGAACCATCATCGTCCCGCTGGTAAACATATGGCCCATTCTCAAAAGTGCGCGACGAACCGAGAGGGTGAGCCACAAAAGTCGCTGACTAATGAACACAGTGAATGAGGCTCCTGGTTCATGGCTGGCCAGGTTAGTGATTAGATAATCGTGTTTCCAGGCTAGATCATTCTTGTGCCCCGCGATTAATGGTAGACTGTCGACCACGACCTTACCGGTTGGTCTTCCCGCTTTTCTGTTGTCCACTGTTTATCTGCTGCACCATGCAGATATCAGCCTTAAAGCGCTGAATACTCTTTTGAGCATCATAATTTCCAAAGGTCCAGTGGTGTTCATTACTCCCCACATACTGACAGGAGAAGCACAATTCTTCATTGCAAAAATGGTGCAGTCGCTTGTCGGACATGTCACGAGATTGACCTGATCAAATTCCACCCTTCTTTTACCTTTTGGCGACCCAAATACACTTTCGGCCCTGGTATGCAAGGAGGTGAGCAATCCCGTCTTTGGCTGAACAATTTAGAACTGACTTCTTGGATGCAAGAAGTCACCCGAAATTTTAGCCAGATGGAGGAATTCTGGGCGACTTCTGGAGACCACAAGAAGCATTGGATGACTAGGATCGATACACTAATAGTGAAAACACCTCGAATTGCCTGGATGCTTTCATACCCTCCCACCGCAGCGCAGTTAGGTTGACCTCAGCCATTCTCAGATGTGAGCATTGGCCATTTGTCCTAGCCCGAATACGAGCAGCAAGCCGAATGGCACGAGTGCTGCCGTCGAGATACATTTGGAAAGACAGACCAAGCTGTACTCGCACATGGCTTCCTCTGAAAAAAGCTCTGGCTTCCGTTCATTGAATGTGCAGGTGGTGCTCGGTGACATTCTGGCAAAGAACCTCTGAGGTACTCTAAGGCCCGCAAGTCTCGCCGTTTTTGCTACGACCCTGACGTTTGAAAATCCTCACGGGTAGTGGGCTGATTTTGCGGCGTCATCTTCGCTGACATTTGGTCAACGATTCTTTGATTGATCGAGTGTGCTTACCATGAATCACTCGAATTATCTCATCGATCATGGCTCAGTGGTCATCGCAACGGCTCGGTTGTGCTTCTGGTTCTCTGGTCAACCTGACCAGCAACTCATATCTTGAACATCGGAGGAATAGTCCGCTCACTATGCTTTGGCCTAAAGAGGTACTCAGCGATTTGGAAACCATACACGGCGAGTTCGACGGCTAATACTTCAAATCACATACGTCAACCCCGCTTTTTCGTTGTTGACGTTCGGTCGACATGGAAGCGTCGGCGTTTTGAGCTTGATTCCTAGTCAAATCCATAAGAAGTCATGACCGAAGCCAGGAGTTACCTCGATCCCCCGCACAGACACGCCGCAGCAGTAGTGAACTGTTGAACTGAATTCAGACGGTCTCTACCCTTCTGCGGAAAATCTTGTCTGATGATGACGGTTGAGTATCAGCTTGAAATGCTGAAGTGCCCTTGCTGCCGAGTATGAAAATTGGAGAGTTTCATCCGACGGGAAGTCATCTAAAAAGCCGTCGCTGCCATTGAGGCGGTATCAATGTCCTCTTCCTAGAATGCTGGACGGCACGGCTGCCGCACAATAAGGCTGACATGATTAAGTGACTACTAAACTCAACAAGAAACAGCCATGAGTTTTCCGTGTTTCTTGGATTGCTTGCATTGCCGAGCAGCATTAGACTAGGCTGGCCCTCAGAAGTATGAACAATCATATGGTCTTGGAATCCAATGGGTTCAGTATGATGTACTGCCATCTGGTATATCCCTCGCGAAATCGCTAGGAGGATTTTCACCACACAGCAAGAGATTTTGAGTACCGCCCGTCGATCACGTGAGCGATAGATTTTCGCCTTTCGATTTTCGCAGCTAAGAATGACAATTGGCGCGACAGGAGCGTCTGATATCGATCAAAAGATTATGGAAGGGAGACTTGCTGGCAGCAAAATCTTCTCGAAATCTAATTGCTCGGGGCTTTCTGTCATTTGGGAAACCCTTTATTCGAATGCATTCATCAGGGAGGAGACCGTGATTTTTGAAGCACACTTCGATGGGATGATATATCTTCAATCACATTCCCTCACGACATTAATGGCCAAAATCTATGTGCCAAGAGTAATGAACTCGAATTGGCTACCGAACATCTACTGCTCGAAGGATATTGGTTCATGGCTCCTTAGCCTCAATCAACGGAACGTCAATATCTCATTCAGATATTCGAGACTCCCATTCTTCAATAGTTGAGCCCAAGAGGAATATCTGATTACACAAAACCGACGAACCTGCATCTACGCGATGCGATATAGCCTGCTATAAGTAGGGGGCTTTGATTTCACATCGAAAATTTACGAAGTGAGCAGGCAAGCTGGACGTCGCTTTGAACACGTTGGTACAAGAGAGACATGGCCAAAGCTCTTGATTGTTGGGCTAGCGATCGCCCTGAGAACGCTGCAGGGCACTCCGCGGAGCTTCAGTCGCTGAAAGCTCAGGTCTTCTCAGAATAGCACTCTGCTTGTTATTTTCCGAAATGCATGAATCAGGCCGTTTATCCCAAACTATCAGTTTACTGGTTGTATATCATTTATGATTGTCAACCATGGCCAGATACTAGTGAAGAAGGAGAACCAGACAAGACGAGAGATACAATTGATAGCGGATATAACAGCAGTAGCGATAGCAAGGAACGATGCCCTCGCTATAAGTGTTTGGAAAGCGTCCCAGGCGGAACTTCTCTAAGAGAAGTACTACTATTCCTGAGGTCATAGTATCGATGCCTCAGACATAATCAAGATGCAAATACAGATTGGTTCGCAGGGAGCCAGTCGATAGTTAATAGCCAGAGAAGGTGCTCATCTCAAACATTCTGTCCACCGCTCCGGATCGAGGTTTTAAAGGCTCGCACAAGAAGAGACATGCAAGAACGCAGCCGTACATGTCAACAACGCAGAGCAGTGGACACAACAGCGAATGCCTGATAAGCGGGACCAGTCATCCGTGCGGATCGATCCCGAAGGCTCAAAACCAAGCGCAGCCCTGTGTTCAGGCTCTAGACAGTTCAACACAGAACATAAAGAGACAAAACCGTGAAATCCTGCAGACAGTGGAAATTACCTCGCACGATGACTTCTGGTTCCGCTCTCTGATCAGTACCGACAAACTACAACGGCTATGTGATCATGGCTGCTCTAGCTCACTGAAATACGCGCCTGTTTTTGTCCTTCTAATCGTCGGAGTGACAGACAAATTGTCTAGAGTATCAAGGTCATTTCATATCTTCACAAGCTGGGAGATTGGACCATAACCCACACAATTGCGGGTTCTAGCCATCTCTATCGAGTCACAAAGCATCAACAACAAATCTAGGCGTGGAAGTTGATGTACGTTCTGTGATCGAGATTGCGCAAAACCACCGTCCGAAAAAGCGGGTGTACTGCAATACTTGATAGTACATTCATGGTTTCCATGAGATTCAAGAAAGACCTCTGGATGCATGAGAAAATTGCGGAACTTGCCTCGGCTTCTTCAACAATATTGAATGATATCCAAATACTTAGGTGATCTTTCTTCGCTCATGATTGAGGTAGCGTGGAACTTCGGCAATCGTCGAACTACGTTCTGACGACTTCTCGAGTCTTACGCCTGGGACAGGCGACGGCAGATGCTCCTTCGACTGTGCCCGTCTTACAAGTACTATCTTACGACCCGTCCAGTCTTAGAACTCCAGTCTTACGACTATCCCGGTCTTACGACTATCCCGGTCTTACGACTATCCCGGTCTTACGACTATCCCGGTCTTACGACTATCCCGATCTTACGACTATCCCGGTCTTACGACTACCCCAGTCTTACGACTATCCCAGTCTTACAACCTGTAGTCGTCCGACTGGTTTGGCCGTCCGACTACCTTCTCTCGATCATATCGCTCGTATGAACAGGGTCCGACATATCTACTGTTGCGCTTCTAGCCTTCTGTATTATACCTAACGACTCAAGTCTTCGCGATCTGTGCTACACTTCGATGATTTCCGACACCCTGCTTCTTAAAACCATGAACCTCAGCACTCATTTGTCCTAGGCCTTCAGTCGTAATCTCTCAATAATTTATTACTTTGTAGGACTTAGGTCCTTAAGAGAAAGAGATTACAGCACAATATTCTGCTGCGGGCAAGTACAATATCATTTGCGAGCATCATATTCAACTCGGGACCGAAGGTAGCCTTGGTTAGCAAAGGATACACGATGTCGCCATCGACATGTTGACTCGTACTCTAGGCATTGTTTAACATCCGTGTCTCGATGTCGCAAGACCCAATCTTCAATTAAGCTTGAGTTTCCAATCAGAAATACCTCATACTTCTATGCTCGCTGTCATCCGAGTCGAATTCTCTAGATTATGAGAGTGCTAACAATAAGAAGCATCAGTATAGATCAGGTGAGATGACTGCCCGTGTAGATCGTGTTTTTGAATTCATCGAATTGCTTTGATCACCACGGGCACCAGAAAGCTCCAAAGGTGGAATTTGTTTAAGTCTACCTTATTCGATAGGGCACACTAAAAAACGTTCATAGCTGTTCAAAGACGCCAAGACACTTTACGAGTCACTTGGAGAAGGTCAGAGCAGTGCGATCCTATTCTGGCACCCTCATCACAATTTGCCTAACGACCTTCAAGATCTTTTAATACGAGGATCCGCACTTCCAAACGATAATGTGTGGCAAGGGGGCCACCAGCAAGGGAGTATTCGTATTTGGCTATAACGATGAAACCAGCTGTTAACAAAAGGCTATTTTAGTATGATGTCATTGATTGATTCTAGATGTTCTACTAATGGGCTATAAATATTTTCTGTATGGGATCAGTATCACTCGTCTTTATTCTCGACCATGACTTTTGAGTAGAGCATCAAGACAACTCGAATATCAAGATGCCAATGAAGAGACCAGTACACAAAACATCTTCCTGGGCTGCGCATGATGTACTCGAAAGACCTTTGAGCAACAAAATCGAAACCCCGATCCCCCTCCAAGAACTTATGAATGCTCTAGCAAAGTACGTGCTTCAGGTTGCCAAGCAATCAATGCATCACCTCCGTTTGCACATCAACTGATCGAATATCAGCATGCGTCTCAACCCAAAATACAGTGACTTTACCATTCTGTGTGGTGAAGAGTCCTTCCCTGCCCATAAATGTATAGTTTGCGCGCAATCAGGATTCTTCTCTGGTGCCATGGAAGGAGTTTTCATTGTACGCAGCCAGAGTGGCCTGGCATTTGAAGGTATCTGTCTGACTCGGGAAAACACAATAGGAAGCTACCACAAATACCGTCGAGATTCAAGAAGATCCGACTTTGGTGAAGCAGGCGATTGAGTACTTATACACTTTGGACTACCAAGTCATATCTCACAATGCGACAGAACGAAGCCACGAACAAGGCAATGAATTGAGCCTCACAAGCTCGAGTTGCCACGTTCCTGACGGTGAAACTACAATACAGGAGACTCGGGGGACCTCAGGTCAATCTCCTGATACAAACGATGCTGGAAATACCACTCCTATGCTTGACCCTCTCTCATTTCACATACTTATGTACTCTCTCGCAGACCGTCTCCTCGTCACAGGATTGAAAGCTCTCGCCCAAAAAAAAGTTGAATATGAAATGGCTCAAAGACTAGACGCGGCTTCATTCCCGCAGGCAGTCTTGGAAATCTACAATTCAACGCCTAAAAGTGACAGAGGTTTAAGGGACCTTGCCGTGGACATCACTTTGCGTAACCTTTCTTTGTTGAGGCGGAAAGATGAAGCAGCTGATGCTATCTTCCAAGACACTCTCCTTGATTCCGTTCCACAATTCTCACGTGACTTGCTGATCGCGATGATGAAGAAGTCCGTGACCGCATGAGGCAAAGCGAGAGCTGTGGAAGGAATTGGGCTGAGCAGATTAAACGGTAAAATTTGATTCATCACTGCCTTTATCCTTCTTTGTTTGAGAACTGAGGTATATTCTAGTGCGTCTTCAATTGTTTCACGGTGTTGATCATATGTGGGCTCGTTTAACGGGCTAGCATAGTAATTAAGTCTCGTCTCTGACTACCAAAAGTAACACAGTTTCTGCATCTTATCACTGTACTAGTACTTGCGTTTAAGAGGCACTCTTCTCGCTCAACCACCGTACAACCCGGACCCGATGCTCATCCATCGTGAGCTTTGAACCGCATTGCTACATGTACTTTCCAACTGATCCTTTTTGAAACTGCGTCTCAATTCGAAGGTTGACTAGGCATTGACTGGGCATGAATAGAGTGCCTATATTTCCACTAAGAATCATGCAGTCTCTCCGATCTAGTCAAAATAGATAGTAATCCAACAATGATACGAGCCTAGATCCAGTCCGTCAACCTTACCCCGCATCAATGACGTCTTGTATTTATTGTCACACGATCCCCTAACAGATAAAGGGCTGATTCAGTTTCTCTAGTGTTTCGACATTCTTATAATGTCCATACTAAACATATCAGCCACTGAACTACCTAACCAGAACGATGGATTTTAACGATATTTCTCAATGGCTTTCTGGCCAACAAGCTCCTGGTGTCCCACTTACTAAGGTATTCAGCCAGTATGTGACTGTCCCAGAGGCAGTGCGAATATTTGAACAATTCCAGTCAAAATGGATCCCCAATGGTCAAGTTCTTTGGAGTGGCATACCGTTCGACAAGGCCCAGGCATGGGCAGAGAAAAACAACCTGCAAACATTAACTACAGCCATGGGCCCTTTGATGGATAAAAACAATCCAGAATGTCCGGGGATAGGAAAATCAAAGAATCAATGGAGTCGGTATATTCATGGTGCTTCGGCAATTTTTGCTTGGCATATCGCTAGATTCGAGAAAGTCATACTACTTTCCTCTCCACCACCTCAACGATTACATCCCACTGGTCTTTCAAACTACCAATCGATAGAAGAGCCAATTATTCAAGGACTTCTTGGCCATTGCGCGGTTCAAAAGATCATTAATATACATCCTACTGTTCCGGGCGGCGAAAAATGCCCATACGAAATATGGCCTGATGACGAAACTTTCAAATGGACTAAGCAATTTGGAATGAAATATACCTCTAAAAGATGGAGGTCCGTTGGGATCTCCGGAGACAAGCTACGTTTAAAAGATCTGATTACTCAATCAGGACAGCGTATCCTTAGTAAGAGGACCACTGAGGGGAGCGAAAGATCAAAGGTTTGGCAGATAATATTGTTTTGTCGCGTTGATGCTTACAAACCATTTAGGTGTCCCCGGACAGCCTTCCTCCACCTATTCTGTGGTCTATATTACTCGTCATTTTAGCCAGATTTACAGTCTTCAGTTCAGCCTGTATTCTTTTTACAGTGATTAACAGAACCTTGCGACAAGAAAACGGAGCAAGCAAGCGTTGCCAATTGAGACCTGACTCAAATGACACAGGTGGGTCTGTTCTGACAATGAGATCAAGCAGAAAGAAATCCTTGGGAATTTATCAAAGAAACAAGATCAACTTTGATAAAAGCGCCCGGGATACAACGCAGAAGGAAGCTCAAAAAAAGCGTACAGCAGAGGAAATCCAGCCCAGGGTCCAGGAAGGAGCTCAAAAGAAGCCCAGTGCCAAGGGGAAAAGAAGGACCAAAGTACAGAAGAAAGCTTTAAAGAAGCGCAAAGCGAAGAAAATCCGGACCAAGGCGCAGGAAAGAGGTCAAAAGAAACCCAATGCCAAGAAGAAAACCGGTGTCAAAGCGCAGAAGGAAGCCAAAAAAGTGCAAAGCGAAGAACATTGAGACCGAGGCGCAGACTGAAGCCCACCGCAGAATAAAATCTGGAGAAATTATCTTAAGTTGCATGTACTTTTGAAATATTGCCTGCACTATATTCTGCACTACTTTAGCCAATGTCTCAACCAGGGACCGCCTTTTAGGCGTTAAGGGACCGTGAAACAAAAAACATGGGTCAATATCTCTAGCTACTTAGTCTCAGGAAGATTTTCAACTTCTACAAGTGCTACCGACTAAAAATACTTAGTCACAATAGCATAATCAATTATTCAATTCAAGACAAAATAGCGGACAGCATTTTTCGGGTTGACAATACGGATAATATGCACCCGATCGTATATTCCCCCCAGCTCTTGCACTAGCGACACCTCCCTAAATGACTAGACCTCAGGATTTGTACACTATTAATGACTATGAGAACCTCTGATTCAATCTTCTAGTCCTCTTAAGCTTGAGGTACGTAACTTTACTGTGTACTGGATCATGCTGGCAATGAATAGATTCAGCGATTTGCAATCGATGTGGCCACCACTCTATCTCAAACATGCATATCCTATACTTACCGCATAAATGTGATGCCCTCTTCAGAGATACAGAATTGTGCGAATACAAGTTTGTTTAAATGTGATGACATGTCCAAACTTCATGATGCCCCCCGAAAAGTGAGGATGGAACTTGATTTCTTACGGTTACGTCGAGGTATAAGTCAAGCGTCAACCCATCCCCATTGCCACTGGATCTCTCATCATCATTCATTTTAATTCCTTCATCATGCAGCAAGATTGGCTCACTACCAGAGAAGTGCACGTGGCCACTGAGCGTCGACTGAAGTACCAAGGTACCGCCAGGGTCAGACTTGAGGAAATAGAATTCAATCCACCACTGTCTATAGGTTTGGAGCAACAGAAAATAGATAAACTCAAACAGATTTGGAAGGAAGACGGCTGCCGGAGGCTAGATGTCGAGAATTATATCCCGGCCCTGGCCTCCAGCGAAGCCATCTCTCAAGCATTAGCCAGAATTGGGATGACCCCCGAATGGTTCAAGAACAATCGAACCGACCATTTACCTTCAATGACATTCGATCCTAACCAAATCAAGGGTCTTCATGGACGTCATCGGATTTATGCGGCCGCTGATTTTCTGGCTCCAACCGACAAGTGGTGGGTCGTGGATATCTATCTGGATGGTAAGTTACTGCTATCGTAAGAAAGGCAGAAATTGAGTGCTAATAAATGTTCGGTAGTAGATGTTGACGATGCTCTAAGGGACCACCTAGTTGAAGAGTACGATCTTAACCGAGAACATACAGATGGGTATATCTATCGCAAAATCCGTCAATTTGACGATGACCATTATATTGGGACAAGGTGGAAGGCCCATTTATCATCATCTAATCGCCAACGCTGGGAGCAAATTGTCAATAACAACTGGCTTCGAAAAGCCTTCGACGAGCTACTGGATATCCCAGGTCTCTGGATAGACGGGATGAGGCTGAGTATGGTACATAGACTAGTCGCAATCAGTTGCCCGGAGGTACGCCAACACAAAGTCTGCATTGTTCCCTGAGACCTTCTTCTTTCTGCCTGAAAACTGCTTATTCTGTTCTCGGATCTCATATCATCTAACATCATTTACAGGAGATTCGTGCTTACTTGAACCATGTCCATCGCTTCTGGTCTTCACTGGTTAATGATGACACAGACGCAAAGAAATGTATCGATCAGAAAACAATCAAGAAGCTTGAATTACTCGCGCCCGGCACATCTCCCGATGATGCTAAGTCAGCACAACAAGTGATTTTGACTGGTCAAGTATTTCCCGATCTCGACGAAGACAGGAGGACAGAAATTTGGGACCGACTCAAGGGATTCAAAGGTCTCATACCTTCACTGCGCACATTTTTTGAGGATTTTAAGTACCTGGAAAGTTGTGCCTACTGCCTCAAGCGACTCGTAGGTCCATCTGAGGTATCCATTCATCAAGCATTGAAACAAATATTCATTGTGGCTTCGGATACTACAAACGATTATCTTATTCAAATTGCCGAGTACGAGTATCGGAAAGTGCACATGGTGAGTGCTCAGCAATTCAATTTCGGATACTGCCAGCTCTGGCTGTATGCTATGAGACATTACCCTTTGATGCCGCCCGATCCGAAGAAACAGAACCATCATTTAGCCAAACCAAAACTTGCTCCAGCCGACCAGCACGCCATCTATAACATGGCTCAGCTTGCCCATCAGTTGGGTTTCAGATCGACCGAGATTAACACAATAATTAATGCCTCCCCGGACCATCAAATCGCGCGCACCGCATTACTTCAAGCTCGGAAACCTGACCGGTATCGTTACGATGCTGACACTTTTGAGACCCTGATTGATCGGCTTGTGGAATGTTTTGCGACCGCTAGACCTGCTTGCGAGACTGCAACACAACCTACTTTAAGCAAGCCCGTAAAAGCCCAAGCTCGCTGTGGTCTGCCAAAACTGCAAGCCCAGGAACATGACAAATCGACTTTATTCTTGCCATCCTTTATTGATGAGTTCCCTAAGGCTAATCATGTGACTTCTTGGTTTGTCCGCCGCTGTGTCTTCGGTGCCTTTCTCGGAGCAAACCTGACGCCTCTCGAAGATGGCTTCCAGAATATCCTGTCTGGATTACTAATCAGCCCATCACCGCGAACCGCCAACCCATTATTTCCGCAGATCGAAACCCTCAGAAGCGGACCCAGTCTGGATGGCTTCGAGACATCGGTTGCAGATTTAATGGATGTGGAACCTGTTGCAGACTCTCTGACATTATCGCCTCAGTCTTTCCAATCGCTGGACATCAACCAAGAAGTCGGGAACTCTCAAATCTGGTATTACGAAAACGAATTTCGAACGGAAGATCGAAGTTACTATGAGTTCTTTACAACCCAAAGGGGAGAGAGCCCACCTGAAAGCGTAGAAGCCGGGAACTCTGAAGTTTTCCATTACGAAAACAAATTTCGAACGGAAGATCGAAGTTACTATGAGTTTTTTACAACTCCAAGGGGAGAGAGCCCGGTTGAATCCGTAGCCTGCTGGTCAGTCAATGAGGATAGTGCAGCAGATGAGTCTTTGGAGTTTCATCTCCAAAATGATTGCTTGGAAAGTACACGCTAAAAACCAAACGTGAAGAAAGCGTTGTGTATTGAATCGGTTTCAGTGGGCTTTCTTTTTATTAACTATCGTTGTATCGTTGTATCTGGAATGCGTATCGGACTCCGTATATAAGGCTCACTTTTATCAACCAGAAAACTAGGACTGAAAGGTCTATCGTAATTATGGAAGACTGAAATTAGAATATATGGTCCGACTTTGAGAGGGACTAAAGTGGGTCTAGAGTAATCTAGGCAGAGATACTATAATTATGGCTACTATGCTGATTAGTGAATAATACTCCGCGGGCAGCTTGTAATAATCCTTTTTCTATAGATTCGCGCTTACTCGAGGGTGGACGAAGCTAACAGTCCGCTGCAGCGTAGATAAGAATAGGTTAAAGGTAGTTAGTTAGGCTGGGTGTATCAGTGACTATGTTATTTGCTTTGTTTTGGGGCCCCATCGAGCGCCTGGTCCATCGCTTAAAATAGAGGTTAGGGAGCTAGGATAAACTGTAAGTTTATTAGCTACGGACAGCCCGCCAAGCCTGTGGTCGCCAGGAGTTTTCTTCTAATATGGCGGCGAACCAATTCTTCTGGACCATTGGAATATTAAAAGCAAGCTCACGGGACTTTCCGATCTAAAATGTCTGTGGAATAGGATTGATAAAGTACCTACTAATCATCGATCATCGACCTCGCATTTTTATGCCCGAGGTCTATTCCAGGCTGAGCTGGCTTTACATCAACGTGAACTAGGCTTATGCATCTACTTGGGCAGAACTGGAGTGTTTACACTGCAATGATTCGTTTTCAGATGTCTTGAAACAACGCGATCGAGTATAACGTGGCTAGACCACCACAATTTCTAAACCGGGAATCATAATCCTCAACCAATAGAAACAGAACACGTATTGGTCAGCGGAACTCAGATACTTCTTAACCGGTAGGATGCTCTTTGTTTTCGTCGGGTAGTGATATAATGGGGCGCAAAAAGAATAATAAGCGCGATAGTTCAAGCTCGCCGCTACCTTTGAGAGAAGCTTCACAGTCTGATTATCTAGAAAACTATTCTTCAACTCTCGCACGCAGAACCTCACCCTCACCTCAATTAGCTGACGAAAAGATGCCAGGGACAGAGATAGCATACATCGAGTATGTCTCTCTTCAATATGAATATAGGTGATGCTCACATTCGTCAGCTTTTTGGACTCGGATTTCGTGTCCCTTCGAGTTCGTCAGACGGGACGATCGTTCAGAATCCATCGGAAACTGCTTCAATCAAAGTCCAGGCCACTAATTGCAGCTTTGGATAGTATGCTCAAAGAAGGACAGGACTCCCTGTACGAATTTGAAGATGTAAAAGAGGGAACAGTGGCTCGGTTTATTGAATGGGCATATCGAGGGGATTATCCTACTTTAATCACCTTTTTGGAGCCTCTTCCGAACCCGTTTATCCCGGACAAGGTTGACACAGACATCAAGGATAAGCCTGGAACAAAAAGTCCAGAAACGGACTTTACCTCGGAGAACCATCCTCTCATCATCCACGTTCGGCTTTACATATTCTCACATATTTATATTATTCCTGAACTTCAAAAATTAGCCTACGAAAAGGCGACCGCCTGTTTCGCGGACCTGGACAAGCCGGATGGACTCGACAAGCAACTTGCAGTGATTGATGCTTTACGACTATCCTTTTCCAGGCTCTCTCATAATGATACTTTGTTGGACTGGCTGGCTCAGTATGCCGCTTACAGTGTGGACAAATTGCGGCTACAGGGTTCTTTTCATGATCTTCTGAAAGATTTTCCCGCTTTGAGCTCCCGTATGATGATTTCGCTGAGTCCAGCACAGTCTCCGCCATGGCGGAGTACACAGCAAAAGCACCAGTTCACGCAATATTCTGCTAGATGGACGGGTGATAATTACGATCTTTGAGAAAATCAGTAAGCCAACGCAGCCAAGCGGATTCTTTTCGGACGGGTACACACCGCTTATCTAAGCTTACCGTGTTTGTGCTGTGCTCGTTGAAATGTTTTTCCTCCCCGTTTCCCATCAACAGCTTGCTTTGCGCGCTCGATGTTCCATGGTGCCTGCCTATAATAGAGATCTAGTTTCGTATGTCGCGTCGAGAAATGCTGGCCAGCTTCCGTGCAAAACTTGGTGTTATGCGCTTTAAAGGCCTCAAATATCTTAACCGACGTTTCTTAGTCAGGAATCAGATTGTTTTCATGCTTCTGTTGGTCTAATTTAAGAACATGTACTTTTTTGCGAGTTGATGCCAGCGGGAATTATATTGGATACTCCATTCCGCCCCTCATTGATTGCACATTTTGTTCGAAAGCAATTATCATTCGCGAGATATATCCTGGCAGGCTCGACACCGTTTGCTAATTCTGATAAATCTATGGGCGAGCTGCTTTCCACCAATTAAGATGCATCCGTCCATTCCGACCCGTCGTCGGGAGGAATTCCCCGTCGACTGACAAGGAACTGCGGGGTACCCGCCTGTCTGAGCGACACGTTGCATAGCCTCACTTTTAAAAAGCCAGCCTAAGGCAGCTTCAATCATATTACTGTCCTTTGACAGCTCTTATTGTTGACCTGGAAGGTACCCCAGAGGACCTAAAGCGAGAGCGACCAGACAATCTCGATACCGGTGGTGTGGTAGCCACATGGAGTATGCCACAACTCCCTTGTTCACTTTCGCCTTGAATCAAAGCAAGCAAACTCAATGGAGAGTGAAATGAGATTGAGAGATATGATGGCTTTTGGAAAATAGTCTTGATATGCTCTTGATAATAAATAAACTGGACTGACCCTGCTTGTTTTTTGGGTAGTCTGCTCAAGCTAAACAGAATAGCAACGTCTGTCGTGTATCTTGCATACCTTTACATATTCTCTGAGTTTCAATGTCAGCCATGACTTGCAAAAATCCAAGTATGGCAGTCGCGGCATCTTCAAGTCTAGTTCCCGAAGCCCAGACTATCTTGAGTTTCTTCGATCAACTTAAAGCATTATCTCCGTCAGTCGGGTATGAAATGATTATGAATATTTACGAAGACAACAGGAAACTTCAGGGTCGACTGGATGAGATGAGCAACAACGTTAAGAAAAAAGAGGTGGCTATCGACGAGATGTTTGAAGTCAATGAAAAGGGGAAAAGCCAGCACCGAGAGACAATAGCCCAAGTCCAACAACTCGAAAAGGTTATTCAAGAGAAAGAAAGCCTGGTTGAAAAGCAGATCCAAGGCCTTCGTGATCGAGATACCCAAATAAAAAAGCTGACAGCTGAAATCAAGAAACAGGCGGAACACCTGGCGCGAACAAAGCAGGAATGTGGCACATTGCAAGGCACAATTGAGGCCAAAGATGCGATCATCACCGACCTCAAAACAGACAAGGTCAATCTGAACGATCGCTTGACAAGGCTAGAGAAACTCAATTCGGACATCAAGGAAGCGAGCCAGAACCTAGAATCTACCCTTGGTGACGTCCAAACCAAACTATGCCGGGTTGAGGGGTTCACTGTTGGTCATCTTGATGTGGAAGAAAACATCCTGTATGTTCCTCCGTGTAGGCTCTATCATCTGCTAATTCTTGTACAGGATAGACCGTTTCACAGGGCTCTGGGAACTCGCCAAAACGAAGTTGAATGCTGTATTTGCCGTTGACTTGCCGCCGGAGAGTTTTCAAGTATGTATATCGTGGCACTTCTGGACAGAAACTAACTACTCTTTAGAACGTTTCTGCATGGTCCAAACTGAGGGAGTCTCACCTTGCTCGTACTCATCGAATTCCTTTGCCATGTTCCAATTCTCAAGCAGCGAAACAGATCCGATCAGCATTAGTTCTCGCCATTCTCGCTAGAGAGATTGACCAGCATGTGTTCCAGCCCGTATATATCCTGCCTACGGACCCACGCATACGGCAAACTCTCAAATATCTCGCTAGGACTGACTTTGAGAAAGAAACGTTCTGTCGCTCTCTAATGCAATCTATCAATTCAGATCTGCAGGAGAAGTCGCTCCAGACCATTATAAAAAATGTTGTTGGCAATGTACTGTGTTACATCGATGACATACTCCCTGACACGCAACGCGCTTCACTTTACTCGGAGATAGAAGTAATAGTACGGAAGGCTGCCGAAGTCTGGCAGCTAATCAGACGTTCCAAGCGAATGTATGAGCCCGACTTTGACCCGCCCGAGTCCGATGAGGACTGGATCGCTTTCGACGCGCCTGATAAAGAACGATCAGCATCAGGTAGCAAGCACAATCCTCGAGAGTCCGATACTCTGACAGTGTTCCCTCGTCTCTCTTCCATCGAGAACAACAATGTGATCGATTATTCGGTTGTGATCCAGCTGGCCAGCTCTTCACCTTTTCTTTCGAAGGCGCGGAGCGAGATCAAGCGAGAACCATCCAGTCCTAGTGTCGTTCGGGTGGTGGCCAAGGCTTGGCGAAATCGGTCTGTCACCTCCAAGGATACAAATGTACGCCAGTCTTTGGAGCTTGCGAACGGCCATGACAAGGTCAATGGCAAATGATGGCTCACTCGACTACCGTCTAGGATTCTGCACATCACGAAATCCCAAGCTACTGCACTGATTCTGAATAAATCCTTGTGTCTTATCTCCTCACTTGTTGAAGGCGAGATTCGTAGACTTCTTAGCATCAGGGTACCCAGGTGGGTACTCGGCATACTCTAGTCGACATTTTGACTGCATTTACGCAGTAGCGACCCACCTAGCGGTGAGGAACCCAGATAGCCTTTCGTCTTCCAGACTAGGCCATTTGTAGTCATGGCCAAATTTAGAGCAGCCTCGCTGGAACATACCGACCATGCTAATGTCTCGGCCTCATTATGATACTGTACAGTGCTAGTTGGCAAAACTCGAACTGCTCTTCTTTGGCTCCTCCATTTCTCTCTATTATGATTATGGGCTGCAAAAATTGATGGACGGACTGGGTTTCGATGCACTCACTGGTTTCGTGACAGTACTCACTACTGTATCAACTTTCTAGAAAGCCCAGGTGCAGATGAGACGGTGCACATGCCTGTATGTCTCTTAGCTAGGCCTTACTTTTCGGTCGGCCCTCACGTGGCTTTGTCCCTCACAAGACGAACTTTACAGGAGAAATTTCCTAAAAAGACGCTCCCATTAAATGTTTTCCGAGGGTCAACGTGTGCTGTGAATCCGTGCCTATAACAGTACCAATAGAAAGTCCTCCTTGGAACGCACGACCTGAAATTCTTTGCATATGCCTTGGGACCTTACATGAAAAATTGCTTATTATTCAATCCGCCGCAAGACGCTTTTCCCAACACAACCCAGGTCATGAGTTTTCAGGTGCCATAGGTAAAACTACATAAGCTTCAACCAGTCTTACAGACTTCTGCTTTCTCTCGCAAGTGCCACACGTTCGTCGACGAAGAACCCGATCTCCGCTCGAGTCAGCACTACACGGACACTGCGAGAAATGAAAGTTTATCCAAATTACAGCCTGAACCTGGATTATTCTTCAGAAATACGTTATGTATGGCTTTGGGTTGCTAGCTGCTGCTTGTCCGTCCCGTTACTGTATTCTAAAATGCCCATTTAGTAGTGGTGTTGGGATTGCTCGATCGTCGCGCTCTCAGACCAGAATCACGGTGGGCAAGTGAGCCTTGTACGACCAAACCTTTCGCATCGTCAGAGCTTCACTGTAATGGAGATTCCAGAGGGTCTTGACTAACGCATGCTGCTAAGTAACACACATGCGTTTGGTTCTTAGCTCATCCCTGCCTCCATGCATTCTCTTCAAGCGTCGCTTTCTACTTGGGGTTGGCTTTGAATGTAGCCGTTGATGATTCAAGTGACACCGGTGGAAATCGATAATCAATGCTTGTTGTAGTTCTTTGTTCCACAAAATATTCTCTGGGCGAAGGTCGTCATGCACGACACCCAATGATAGAATACTCCTTTCCGATCGTAAAATATGCCGCTGCATGTTGGTATCGATTTCCTCGTGACGGAGACTCTTGCCCCCCCAACTCATTAGTAGCATGTGGCGAATCTCACCTGCGCCGTGGAGGAAGTAAATCTTAGCCAAATTTATGAGCCCCAAAAACACGGGTACTGCAGAGCCTTGGATGCTCTGTAAAATACGGTAGACCTCTGCTTCCTGCGATACCTCATGCCATAGCCGTGAAGTTGTACCCTTTCCCACCACTGTGTAGCCGTATGCAGCACATGTGACTTTGAACGGTGCGCCGTATGATCCACATTGGCCGAATGGAGTACAGTATTCGTCCAGGTTCTCGTCCAACTGTTGCTTGACCAAGGAGACTAATTCGGCGGCTCGGATTGGGTGACGGTCGGTCTCCAGGGCAGCTCGATGAAGCTTCACATTCGGGCAATGTGGGTCCAAGACATCGCCACGCTGCAAACCCAACAGACATTTTTGCGTACAGAACTCATGAGTGTGTGAGCGAGATTGACCGGCATGGCGTTGAGGGGGATTCTTTGGGGTGGTCGGCGTGGGGCGCGGTGGTGCGGGCGGCGAGGACGCGATCTGACTGAAACCGCGCTTTCGTTGCGCAGCAGGTGTTGAATCATCGTCAGGCTCCGAAGAATCCTCTCGACGACTGACACCGGCAGGGGCACAGCGAGTGGAACGAGTGGATGGGCGGCGACCGAGGGAAGCAGGCGATTCGAAAGGGGATGATGGCTGGTATTCAGACGACGTCATTTCCGAGCTAGTACATTCCGGGCTGGTATAATCGGCTCCTGGAGGCTTCTGCCGCAACTCGCCCGGTGGAATCTGTGATCGTGCATGGCTGAAGCTGGTCTCCCAGGTTGGTAGCTGCGCCCGCGCAGCATTCCGCCAGGTTTGGTCCCGACAGGTCGAACGGAAGCTCATTAGGCAGAGACAAAGCACCCTTTCGATGGCTGTCCGAGGACCCTCAGCACCATTCTCGACGTCGAGATTCGGCTCGCACAAATAGTAGTAAAGAGTCGAGCAGTTGTCGGGCACTCGTAGAAGCACAATCCCAAGCCCAGTAGTCAAGTATGAATATTCGAGACCTTCCTGAATCATCAGATGGTATTCCTGAACGATCGCTGAGCCGGCAAGGCGAGCGGCGTTATATCTTAGTTTCTCCGGTCCGTCGGTAGGGACTGTTTCTGGTTCGACAATCTCGTGGTAAAAGTCCATCGGTCGGAGTCCCGCCCTAAGGTTCTCGTTAGACAGTTTATGCGGCGGTTTATACTCCACAGTAGTTAACAAGGCCCTGGTATCTCCATCAACACGGTGGATACAGAATTGGTCGGGACGCGCAGGACGTTCCTCCGAATTTGCTTCGTCTGGCGGACTTTCGTCAAGAGTATTGGCGTGGTTGTCGAACCACACCCCATCCCCTAAGCCGAATTCATCGCGAGCACTCGGTATTTTGCATAGTGCTGAGATGATATCATGGACGTGATCTTCAACAGCGAAACGTTCGTAGCTCTCAAGGTCCTTCTCGCTGCTCAAGGGCCGACGTGCGAAACGGTGTCCCAGCCCCTCCAGCTCAATGACCGGTGCAAACAGACGTGGTGCATCTTTACCCAATGGCTTTAAGTAATGGCAGACCAGGTTGTAGATTTCTTGTTGCTTAACAGCACACTCCGTCCAAGGTTCCAATCGTAGAGGGCAGTACTTGCCGGTAGGGGCCGGAATCTTGCCAGTGGTAGACTGAGCGGGATTTCCGGCTTTCAAAGGCTTCGAAAGAAGATTATGACAGTGTTGAGTGAACTCTTCGAAGGTAGTCTGACGATTTCGTGTTTCTGCCTGCTCTCTCAGTAGTTTCTCCTGCCTCGTTTCCTCCTCGGCTTTCTTCCTTTCTTCGTCAGCTTTCTTTCTTTCCTTGTCAGCTTTCTTTCTTTCCTCGTCAGCTTTCTTTCTTTCCTCGTCAGCTTTTCTTATTTTCTCTTCAGCTTCCAACAGCAAAGCCTTATAGTCAACTAAATTCGACATGGGTAAAGTAGGAATGTGCTTAAATAGATATCATCCTGTCAATGAGTAATGTAAGATCAAGAAATGATGACCGTTACCAATCCACCCCTTCGAGTTCGACGGGACGGGAAATCGGATGATGTGTTTATCCGAGGGTAGCACCCGATTTCGAGAATAATCTCTCTAAGTTTCCAGTCACAGCGAAACTTCTCATTGATAACGGAATATCGTTTTTGGACTAGCGCCACTCTGATTAACTAAAATATAGGCGCTAACTAAATCAAGCTCGTAATCCGTAAGCGCGGATATGTGGGCGCCAAGATGCTTACACTCCTTTTCGAACGGGACAAGGGAAGAAAATACAATTAATTCTAAGAGCTTCAGGTACAGGCAGAGGAACCTAATATCTGGAAGTTTCCTAATACAGTCATCATATACTCCAGCGAACGGCGAGAGCCAAAAACAAGATCAGACTACAACTGGTAGGATATGCACAACAGAAGCGATATTAGTGCGACAAAAAAGGCGCCAACAGTCCATGCTGTATCCCAACCGAAAAGGAACCTAGCAGCAACAACCACGCCTAGCAATATAGCGACCAACAAAGGCAAAGTCATATGACGCTTATCTAGCGCCCAACCTTCGCTGACTACTATACCCCTGAATTCGATCTCTCTCAAAGCTGGACAGTGCCAACTGTTCCAAGTCTCCGTTAAGTCTAGGACATCCCTATCGTACTTAGATTAGAATTTGCGTCACTTAAGATGGTTTATAGTTATCGCTCTGTATCACTCACCGGTGACTGTACAGAAGATTTTCTTTTTTGAGAAAATCATTCAAGACAGCGAGGTCGGGGTTGGAGAAGGCGTGTTTCATCAGGTGCAGCGTGTTCAAGTGTACAATATTCCGTCTAGCAGTAATGTATGTTTCTTCTGGGCATTCCCCAGCATCTTCGAAGCACGGCAAGCAAGAAAAACATTCACAACCATAGCCGCATTCCACAGTTCCCGTGCGACGATTGTAAAAGCAGTCCGATATAGGAACATAGTTGTCTATAGTCTGTTGCAATAGCTTCCTCTCGGCTGGAACGTCGCGTTCCGTATACATCCCAATATATTCGCAATTCTCCCGGCCTTTCGAGGCCTTCTTCAATCCCAGAAGCGAGATCTTAGTGTGGTAATCAGCAATCCTTCTCAGAATGGCGAAATTTCAAAACAAACCTTGACAGCGTCAACTCGTGTGATATTATATCCTGGCAGACGTTTCCTCCAATATCCTCTGCGCGCGTACCAAGCTCTGTGTATCTCTCTCCATGTTTCCACATCATCTTCCGAGTTTGCAATTGGTACAGGCAATATTGAGCAATGGGAGCTTTCGCCCCAGCACAGTAGAACCATAGGAGATCCATTTTCTGGAGACATTGAGCCTAACACCCTTTTCAGGGCTCCTACCCGTATATTATGTCTCTTCTCCAGGGCATCATGTTTCTTCTCCCGGTTACCAAAAGTGGACAGAATTGATCCACGTGAGCCTGCGTTGTCTTCTTCTCCATGTTCTTCGCGGTTATTATTACATTCATCAGCTCTAGCGGTACCAGGGCGGTCTTTGGGCAAAATTGATTCCTGAGTACGGGTGCGACTATCTCGTGGAAATTTGGACCTGCGTCTGTGAAGAGTAGTATCTTTCGGGAGTGGAGTTGGAACTAATCCGGGTAGTGCATTGTTCGTGATCGGTAAGGATGGCTGATCCTGGAAAAGAAAGGAAAAAAATCTAAAGAGTTGTAGTCTAATGTCAAAGTGCTGTCTCTGTGTAGGAGGGAGATCTGAAGTAAAGTCATATGCTTGATCGTCGTCATTCGTAGTTTTCCGTGCTAGTAATTTGACTTTTGGGGGAACCTGAATATAGTCCATGTTTCTTGATGAGAGGGATTCGTAAGGATTTTAGGTTGAATATAAATGTCAAGAATTATCAGCCTCGTCAAGCCTTAAGGCTGTGTCACCAGAGATTACTCCGTTGCGATATTTGATTGGTTTGCGTATTTGCAATAATACAGTCATGTTATTGCCTGCTTTGGGCTCATTGCATAATTAGGCTGGAGAATTATTGTCGGCAACTCAACAGCTTTAACACGAACTAAATACTGGCGCAGAAGGGGATGACGTAATATTTTCCCATGGGATTCAACAGTTGGGAGGCACAACGAGAGGAAATGTCAGCTTTGCATGGGCCAAAGATAGATGACCACGTCACAAGGTGCGGGCCACCAATCACTGGCGTCTCCTTTCCTCTCTGAGATTATGCAAAAGATACCAAATAAGGCAGACTTGGGAATTCCATGGCCACCCTCCAGCTTAGCTCGTAGTCATATTGGAGGGCTTGAACCAAAACATTAAGCTGTATTTAAGATAGTTAAGTGGGTTCTACTAAACACCCTCTTTAAGGCCCAAACTACAAACGGGCGGTCTCCAAAGTCACAACAATGGCCTTAGCCGAGAGACCCCGAATTCTTCTTCTCTCTCTCGCATATCGCGACTTTCTAGATGAAGTCTACTCCACGCTCTTCAACAGGCTCGCAGAAGTGGCCAACATCAAGCGCGCGAAGACCGCAAACGCCGCGCTTCAAATAATCGCCGAGACCACCTTCAAAGCAGTCATCATAACAGACGAAGGCCTTACTGAAACCAACCAAGAGATCCGAGAAGTGCTCATTAAAATAAAAGCTTACGTTGAAAATGGCGGGATTGCCATAGTCGGCCTGCACTTCCCCAACTTCACGCCCATGGATAAATTCAGGAGGTTCTTCGAGGCCTTTGGCCTTGCCTGGGAAAATGGCGACTATCATCGCACAACCTTCCAGCTTAATCCATCGGCTCTTTTGCCCGAAAGCATTGAGACAGCTTCATTGCCTAGGCCGTATAGCATGAAGGCCCTTCATGTCAAGAACGCTAAGCGTCAGGAAAAGATCTTTGTTCCGATCGAAGGCGCGGTGACTCAAAGTCTTGTTTTCCCCCCAAATTATGTGAATCAGGCTCAAGCTGCTGTTGCAGGGGCAAGGCTCGGGTGGGGTTATCTTATTTACTGTGGAGATGTTAATGGGGAGGATGGATCAAATCAGCTTATTTTGGCGCTTTGCGGGGTTTAGGGAGAGAACGATTTCATGAATATTATGATAGCTAGCGGAAGTTGAACTGAGTATATATACGCACCAGTAATTTCACCTTTGTTGAAAGCGTCTTGCCGTGCGATTAGTCGACTCGACAGGGCTCTTCACATATAATCGGATACTGAAGTCGGTCTAATGAGCGTCTTTCAAAAGGCGTTTCTACGAACATGCCGGGAAAACGCGCTTGTATAAGCTACGAACGCGTGGAGTGATTTCTTTTTTTTCTTTTCAAAAGTAAATAAGTGGTTGTGTACCATACCGCCTAGAAGCCTTTAAGACTGTTGATGTTTTAAGAGCCATAGCGAGGTAAACTGTAAACCGAACCCCGATTTGAGCTTGACTGGAAGAAAATACAGCCTGCGGTATTGCTCAAGCCATGATACTAGAAAAAATGGGCAACCTGGATCCCCGACCTTTAGTCACCAAGGGTTCAGAGGTCTAGGAACTATCGGAGTAATTTGGCTCCGAGCCTTCCTCGTCTGTGGTCCCCTCATCATCCGATTCATGATTGTCCCTTAGACACCACCGATCCAACTGAGCTCTCTGCTTAGATGTGATAATAAACCGTTCCTTATATGCAACAAGCACCAGGGTCCTTGTGCGCCATTTGAAAGTACCTGGGTGTGACACGACAAATAGCACAGCATTATAAACTATAGCCCAGTCTTTGATTTCATCGTGGTGGCAACTCGGCTAGCGGCTGAGGAACCAGTAATGTTGTTTTTATCCATGACACTAGGCCAATAAATGCACAACGAATTATTAGAGTAACCGTTTGATTAGGCTCACTTGAATATGCCGACCATGCAGGGTGTCATTTGTTATATTACCCTAATGTACTAGCCGGTAAGGATTTGAACTACCTTGCCTGAGGCTTGCCTCCACCTGTTCAGTAAGATGTGTAGCCAATTCCAGTGAATAGTGTAGGCTTCTATGCACTAGTTCCGTGACGGTACTCGCTACAATACCAGCCTTCCAGTTCAACTTATTTGACGGCTACGCTGCGCCCACAAATCGTTCCATATAGCCAAGGAACGTGTCTACGGATGGAGAAAGAGCCACATTGGGATATCCCCTACATATTAGTACAGGAACCTCAGAGCGGCTACCCACTGATGGAACATCTGATTCAAATTTGGCAAATGATAATTCTTATTGGCACAAAATCGACACACGACGTGACTAGCGGCCAAAAACCCACTCCTCAAAGCGCATTTCGAACCTCCGAGCTAAGAGGACTTTTCTATTTCGCTTGCCCGGGATTGATTCAAACCTTAGCCTATTAAAGCTTTGCTTGCACAGTACTTAATATTACGAGAGAACCATGTAACTAAAATACAGCGAGCTTAAGTACAAGCAAGTGTATCAGATGTTGTGGGACCAGCCCTTGAGACGCAGTGTAAGGACAAAAAAGAAACGGGATTCTTGGAGTACAAACGATTAGGCTGGAGGTGCATACCTAGAAATCTAAATTGGGCCAAGGGCAGATAGCGGCCGACGTGATACAGTTCCATGCACTCCCTCAGCATGGTTCATCAATGCAGATTTACTCTCTAAGTCTTCCCTGCAGATGCTGCATTTGACCCGCATGTCTTTCGGATATGGTATGACGTGAATATCAACAAAGTGACGACCGAGGGATCCAGGGGTCCGAAAGCTTTTGACTCGCTGACGATCTGGCAAACGAGGATTTCCAAGGCAGAGGAAACAAATTGTCGGCCGCTCATGTCGAGCTTTAATACAGACAGACGCAAATGCAAGGGAAAGTGTGGTCTTTCCGTCCTCAGGTGAAGGGCGTTCTTGCCTTTTCGCAGGGGGGGCAGAAGGTAAGTTGTTTGTGGCGGGACGTTTCTGAGTAGCTTTTGGTCGCCTTGTGGGAAAACCTTCTTCCACATCACAGAAAGTGATAACCGCGTTGATTGCAGCAATTCGACGTTGATACTCCTTCTCAACAGTGGAGCCTGGCATGGTCAAGATGGTATCGATCAAGATGATATGCTGCGGAGTCATATATCCTGTCCGCTCCAGAGCACCCATACACTCTTCATCCACCACTTTTCCAGCGAGTTGTCTCTCACTGTCAATCACCGGCTGCTCGTTCTTATATCGTACCAGATTCTCACGCACCAGGCGGTTACGTTGTCGTTGCCACTCATTTCGAGCCACACGTTGTGCCCGGGTATGTCTTTGGGTCGCGCGCATGTACTCTCTCTCCCGCCGCTCTACAACGTCGAGTGCCAGACGAGCGGGGCCTTGGAGTTCCTGTTTCAACTTCTTTTGTTGTAGGTAATCGCCGAATTTTCGCTGGAAGTCCCATTCCGTCATTTCAAAAGCCCGCTTCATCTTCTCCCGAACTTCTTTTCTTTCAATGACTTTCTTCTGAATCTTGCATACATTTGGAACCTTGCTGACAATGCTAGTGTCCTCTAATTTGTAAGGTCGACGGGGGTCAATTGATCGGCTCATGGATGCTGCAAACCGCATCAGTTGTTTCTGGGCCGGCAGTCCCCGAACAATCGCCTGAGCGTCAACGTGGATGCCCACGCTATAGTGTTTGACGAAAGTGTTGATGCTAGCATGCTGCAACATCACGTTTTGGAGCTCGTTGGTAACGTCCGCTGTTCGCCATAGATAACCACATTAGTATGGACGCAGTCATACTCAGCCCGGAGCAAAGTACAAGAACTCACGGCTATCATTGAATGCTTTTGCTGCCCCATAGCGGAGACAGTACGGCTTTGTGACCTGCTCGAATCCTGTAATTTCCCCTCCTCGCTTCATTCGATATCGAAGTGCTCCTTCCGTAAGTTGCTTCTCTAACGCGATTCGGATCCCATCCGACTCACGCAGGGCCTGACAGAACACAAACCGATCGAGAACTTCGTCGTTCAATTTCAGTTCTTGTTCTCCCAGTCCATTCAAAACGCCCAGGTTATATAAATTCTCGGGGCAGTCGACCACTAGCCCGTCTTTGGAGAAGTTCTTGAACGCCTTGATTCGAAACAGCATCCCTAGAAGAAACACGTGGGGGCTGAGGACTAATGTCGGGTCAAAGATGATCTCTGGAATGGGAAAAGTGTTCCTTTTTTGACATGCTTAGCTGTGGTCTGCCATAGCCTACCACCTTCAACGCTTCGAATAAAGATCGTAAAACTTACTGTTCCTTCTCACCCAAGAAAGTCTTGGTAAACTCTGGGGTCAAGTAAATGAATAACTGGGGACGCCCTCCGTCCGGGTTACGGACGAGAGTGAGCATAAGGTTCCGATAGCGTAGATTTAGAAGAGCTCCTGGACGGCTACCGGTGATAGCGGCCAGCTGGCAGAAGAGGAGGAGTTGTATCCGAAGCCACCCACACTGGAATGTCATCTCTGTCGTTGACAGAAGCACGCGAGCGAACTCCGCCACGTCTTCGATATACATGGTCGCTTTTGGTCGCCGCCCAGAAAGAAGGTTTCTCTCCTTGGCAACCATAGCCAATACCTGTGACAATTAGCTAATGCCTCAGCTTCATCAAGACATAGATCCTTACATCCAGGATCTTGACAGTGGTGTCCTTGCTAAGACCCTGCCCCACCTCCGCCTTGTACACCAGATGCCACCACTTCCAGAAGGTCTCGAGCGAGGTTTTATATTTTATTCCAGGAGTGCGACGGCCCGTTTTGCTTCGTCGCCGACCGCATCGCCAGGAGAAAAAGGCCTTCAGGAATCGAATTGTCTCCTCGGAATCAGAGAGCCAGCCAAAACGTTCGACCGGATCGTGTTTTCCTTCGTAGCAGAACCTGGTAAAACATGACCGTTAGCACCAGTGTTCAACTTCAGACCTGACTACTTCTCACCGGTTCCAGTAATCCCGCGTATCGTCTAAGCTAGATTGGGTCTTCGGACTATAACGTTTTTGTCGGAGCTGCGAGACATTGAGAGACTCAGCCTCCTCAAGGTAGTGCAATGCGGTAAGCTCCCGTTCTTCCTCCTCATCGTCTAGGATCGAATCATCATCAGAATCTTCAGAATCGTCACCACTGCTGGCTGGCTCGGATGCACTCTCGGAGAGATTATCAGAAGCGCCGTCTGAGAAGACACCCGGAAAGTTGCTACTCGTGCCGCTGTCATCATCGGACCCGACCGGCTGAGGTGAGCACCGCATGGCAGACGAAAGGTGCACGGGAAGGAGTTGCTTAAATGTGAAAATTGTTGAGGATGATGGAAGTCTGGCTTCTCCAGCTGTTTTGAATTAGACAGTGAGAGACTTGTGTGTGGTGTGGGTGTCGCTCGAAGGCGAAGGGAGAGAGGTGTAAGAGCGCCATGACCATCGAGGCCTTTATAGAATCAGAGCGAACAAGATGGTCGCCAGGGGAGCCGAAAATGGCTCCCCCCCAGCAAGAAAATGAGGTACGGTTGAGCGATGAACTAGCCCTCAGGGCGGCAGCATGATGGTTGAACGTCAGGAACCACGAGCACAAGCAACAGGGGAAAATCAAACAGCGTAGGGTCGTGGTGGTAAGCCTGGTGGCGTGCGAATATGGCACGTGACGCCAAGGACGTCGAAGCGTTAGTTGGACTCGGAAAGCGGCGTCAAGTGTAGCCGTTTTTGGCCGCTGGCTAACCGTTTCATCGTTATATATAGTATTAGACTAATACCAAGCCTTTCTTCTATTAATATTTTATATATTGCTAATAATCTAATATATAATAAATTTAGATGCCTTTCTTAATAATGCTGCCTTTAATAATGTCTTTTTTAATAATACTGTTTTTAATAATGCCTTTTTTAATAATACCTTTTTTAATAATACCTTTCTTAATAATACTGATAATACTTATTTAACAGATATATATATATTTTAAAATAGGTTATACTTTTTTTTAGAATACTCTTCTTATTTTAAGCCTGCAATAAGTAGAAGTCTGTTAAATTAGTTTTTTATAAATGGCCTCTAATCCTGCCTACAGACTTTCTATCTGACTTTCTTTTTACTTTTAGAATCTGGGCTTTTAGTACAGAGATTTTTTAAAAAGACTATACTAGCTTAGTAAAAATATTCTAGTTACTTAATAATTCTTTAATTTAAACTCTTCTAAAAAAGCTGGATATCTTTAAATAAGCTGTTAAAAGATTCTTACTTCTTCTTTTAACTAAAGAATATAAAGTTAATATTAATCTAAATATACAGTCCTTTTTTTGGTTATTGCCTAAAGAAGATCTTACTAAGAAAATTCTAAAAGAACTTTAGATTATATATAATCTTTTAGAGCTGTTTTATTATATTCTATTATCTCAGCTTAGCTAGAAAAAGCTATATTTTAGAATAGCTAAGTATTCTGATAATCCAGTTAAGCTTTAGTACTTTTATATATAAAGGTTCTTTCTGGTGACTATATCTAATAAATATATATCTTTTTCTAATAAAAATCTATTACTGCTAGATGATTTTATTTAGATAAATTATAAGATGTTCTAGGACTATAAAGTTTCTATTTAATATAGTTAGATTATTTTTATAGGATTTAATAAACAAATATTTTTTTCTACTAGTAACTAGATTGTTCTGACTATATAATTAGTATTAGAATAATACCAACTATTTAGACTTTATAAAAACTATTCTGGTTTTTCTAAACCAGATTATAACTGCTCTTACTTTTTGGTTAAATATTAAAAGTATCTGAAGATTTTAGTATTATTAGTTTTAAAATAAGTTAACTTTATACTTTTTTATTAGACTACTTTAAATAATGATTTAATTTTTATTTTTTATATATTTTATCTACCTACTTGTAAGTTTTAATAATATATTAAGATATATCTTTTTTAAACAGAGTTAGAGATTAAATATTATAAATACAGCTACTTTTAGTAGTTATCTAAGCAGCCTAATATCTGATTAATCCTATTTTTACTATTTATTAATAACTTTAGAGTATACTAAAATATATATAAAATTTTTAAAAATTTTTATCTTACTTTAGTAGGATTAACTTACTGGAAATAATATTATCTAAATAACTTTTTTATTCTAATACTAGATTTTTATAGTATAAAAATAAAAGATAGTATCCAGATATTTTAAAATAAAATCTAGACTTTTTTTAAAGATTTTATATATATTTTTATAGAGTATGTATAGTTATTACTATATTTATTATTATATTTACCAGTAATATACCCTAATAAGCAAAGAATTCTGGTATTTAAAACTATAGTACTAAGTTTAAATATTATACCTACTATTATTTAAAAAATAGTAGGTATAACTTAAAGTTTGACTTTTTTTTATACAGTTGGTATTATTTTAAGGTTAAGTTATTCTAAAAGTATATAAAAAGTCTTTTTTTACTTACTAAATAGATTTAGTTCTTTAGTTTAAAAAGTCTATTACCTTACTTATTACTACTTAAATTACTTATACTATTATTAGATTTTGTTTTTAGTTAACTGTATAATATTTTTTATTTAGATTAAAAGGGCCTTGGTCTCTGTTTTTAAAGCTTTATATTTTAGATTTTAAATTTATAAAATATAAAAAAATATTCTACAGCACTTTAAAAAATTACTAGATCTATTTATTAGCCTTATTTTTTAGTATTTAAATATCTTTAGATATAGATATTATCTGAATTTAGATAAGTACTTGTTTTACTTCTGCTAGTCTTATAATATAAGACTAATAAAATTTGATTTTATTAAAAATATTTTAAATATACTTTAGTTCTGCTTTTAATATTTTATTTGTAAATTAAACTAAATTTATTACTAAAATATATTATCTAAATCTGTACTGTTATTGTCTAAAAAATTTTAGTAACTTTAATATACTGTACTATTCTAATTCTAATAATATCCCAACTTATTATATACAGTTAAAAAGCTTTTTAGTATCTTATTGTCATGGGTAATCCCCAAGGGCATGTTGAACCACCAACAGCTTGCCTATATATTCCTAACAGAAGAGTTATAATATCAACAACTTAAAAACTACTCCCTCCAGTATTTAACTCCTAGAAACTTGCTATACCTTTAGAATAGTAAGAATTAGTTTTAAAAATAATAGACTGCTACTATTCTATATCTAACTAACCTATTTATTTTTAATAATTCTAATTCTTTTTTTTTAGTTACTTATAGAATACAGTATGTTACAGTAACTATTATATTCTAATAGTAGTTTAGAGTTAGAAACTTCTTCTACTGCTAATAGTTTATTATCTTTACTATTAGATTTTTTAGTAGAAGATCTTACTACAGTTAGAGATACTATTAGCTAACTATAAGATTATTAGCAGTTATAAAAATAAATTGCCAAACTATAATAAAAAATCTAATATAATAATATTAAATTATAATTAATCTAATAATAGAAAACTTTTTTATTTTTAAACAAATCTAAAATAGATATTAAAATTAAGGATATTCTGTAATTTAAACTTTTTTTTAATATCTAAAAATATTAAAAGTAGTTTTATAATCTAGATTATAATTTTTAAAAAAGTATTATTTAAATTTTATAATAATTATTATAAGATTTTTAAGGCTGTAAGCTATATAAATATAATCTATTAGTAAAAATAATACTATTATTTTAATAAATTACTACTAAAATATAAAAAAAAATATTAGCTATTTATAGCCTGTTTTTTTTAAATAAATATTTTTTTTATTCAAAATACTGTTATTTTTAAATCTGATGTAATAAGCCAGCTAGAATAAGTATAGTAGTAAAATAATTAAGATTCTTATAAATTCTATATCTATCTTAATATTCTAAAGTAATATTTTTTTAAAGCTACTAAAAAAAAACACAGCTATATTTTCTTTGTAAAATTACTTTCTGATTTTAGTTGCTATATTAAAAAATATATATATTAGCTGTTTAAAAAATAAGATAAAATAGTATTTTTTATTATTTATTATTAAAACCTATACATACAACAGTAAAAATATAAACAGAGATCTAATATATCTAATATATTTTAAAAATACCTATAATTTTATAAGAATATTTAATTTTTAATCTCCAGATCTAACTATACTAATATAACTAAAAGATAGTTATAATACTTTTTATATAACAGTACTAAATATCTTATAAATTAATATCTTTAAAAAGAAAAAAAACCAGTTTAAATTTAAAAACTGTAAGTTAAAAAAGTTAATATAAAAAAATAGAATAGGCTAAGGCTAACTCTTTTGTTTTAGCTCTATATTATAAAGTAGAAACAGCTAATAAGATATTAATACTAATATAAATTCTTTATATTAAAAAAATCTATATAAATATTAATAGTTGCACAGCATGCAATCTAGTTAGTATTATATTTATATAATAATACTTTTTTTTAAAATCTTTAAAGCAACTGTTTTAGCTGGAAGCTATTAACTATACTTCTATTATCAGCTATAAAATATAAAATATTCCTTTAAATATTACTAATTTAAAAGAAATATAATATTATTTTATTAGACTGTATATTACTACTAATTAAAATACTCTAATCCTACTTTTTATAACTATTCTACTTAATTATAAAATCTATTTATTACTATAGAACAAGAAATAGTAGTTTAAATTTAATAAAATCTAAAAGCTAAAATCTTAGAATTTTATTAAGGCTTGCTAAAACTATATTTATATTTATACTATTATTAAAGCTCTAAAAAAACTGTGGCTTTCTAGTAATAACAACTTTTAGCAATACTACTAAAATAATCTTATTTTAATAGAACTAGTTAAATTTTCTAATATCTTTTTTTCTAATTAATCTAAAGTTCTTTTAGAATATTATAATAAAAACCATACTATTAATCTTTTTAAAAGTAAATTACTGCTATTTAGACCTATTTATTCTTTATTAAAATAAAAACTTTTTATACTTAGAAATTATATTAATAAAAATACTGTAAATAAAAGAATATATTTATTTAAAAGTCCTACAAAAACTCCTATTTTTTTTAGTATAAAAAAAATAGGAGTTTATAATTATATATAGATTACTGTAAATTTAATAAGATTATAGTTAAAAATTAATATCTACTGCTTTTAATTTCTAAGATCCTGGATTATTTTATAGAATATAAATACTTTAGTAAGATTAATATTCAGAATACTTATTATTATATCTATATTAAAAAAGAGGATAAATAAAAAA